CAAACCTGAAGGAAATCAACCCTGAGTGCTCACTGGAAAGACAGATCCTGAAGCTGAGGCTCCAATCCTTTGGCCATCTTGTGAGAAGAGAAAGCTCCCTGGAAAAGACCCTGATGTTGGGAAAGTGTGAGGGCAAGAGGAGAAGTGGACGACAGAGGACGAGATGGATGGACAGTGTCATCGAAGCGACCAACATGAATCTGACCCAACTCTGGGAGGCCATGGAAGACAGGAGGGCCTGGCGTGCTCTGGGCCATGGGGTCACGAAGAGTCAGACACAACGACTAGACAACAACAACAACGATTTTTCAGGATGCTCGTCATATAAGTCCTAACCCAAAAATAAGCCCCAGTTATGTGAAACCCTGACTTCCACCATTGTGTAGCACCCAGAAGAAGAGGACACGGCTGTATTGGAATAAATGTAGATGGTTGCATTTGGAAAAAAAACATCCCCTGAAAATAAGCCCTAATGCATTTTTGGAGCAAAAATTAATATAAGACCCTGTCTTATTTTCATGGCAACACGGTCTACCTTCAGTCCCCTTTGTTCCTGGGCAGAAGCCCTGCTGGGCTTCACATCTGTTGACTGCAGGCCCTCTGAGCAGAAACTAACCGTATAGCATAGACTTCGTACCCGTCCATAACAGGCTAAGAGGATGAAAGAATGGCGACAGCAGGAATCTGGGAACCAGCGCTCGCTTGCAAGGGGATGCAGCGGGGCCAATAAAAGAAAGGCAGCCTCCAGCTATGCAGAGGATGTAGACTCATAAACCATACACCATCAAACACGGAGGAAGTTGTTTTCTGTACCAGTTGGTTCATCCTTGTAGCAATCAGTAAAGGCCATCTTTTCACAGCCTTTCTGTTCCACATGTAAAACGGGTTTTTTCCACACACAAAAAATTAAATGGTCAAGGTATCCTTTAGTGTTTTAATTAGGTAATTTATACTGTGTTCAGGGGAAAAGGTGTTCAAGGCAGGCAGTCTGAAGATAAATTAGCATTAGTTTTGGGAGAAAGAAAAATATGGAGAGAGAGAGAGAGAGACTTATGTGGGTGTTCATGTGGCTTTTAGAGGCTGAAGGCATCACACCGACACTGAATGCGCAAAAGGAATAACTGACTGATTAGGGGAAAATGTGTATATGAGAGAGAGAGACTGTCTATTAAAGAGAGATGTTTCATTTTCTTAACATTCGTTATATTATTGACTATGTTATGTCAAGGTTTGATGGGAGCATTTGCATGGAAGATTAGGTAAGGAAGACAGCGTGCTTAACAGAGGAAGGATGATAATTTGCTCCGTATCATCAGGTTCCACCCTTTATCTTGCTGCGCTTTGTAGACACCACAGAGTTTTGCATTTTCAGTGTGTCTGTTGGGTTCCCCCCCCACCTCCTCAGAACACATTTTACAATCTTAAAGGTCATCTAAGCCTTTAATGTGGCTTCCTTTCTGTGTTCTTGCCCTTCAAGTTTATTTATTTTATTTATTTATTGCATTTATATGCCGCCCATCTAGACATAGTCTACTCATCCAGACTTTGAATCCCACGGTCCAGTCTTTGAAACAATCCCTCCCATGCAGTCCAAATAAAACAGAAGACTCTGTGTTTGTAAAATGTTGTTATTCCTAACAAAACAGCTCTCGGGATCTGGAATGGTGCGCGTGCAGCGCTGATCTTTTGAAAGCCAGTATGTGATCTGCGGAGGAACTTGATACATGTTTTTCCAGGAAGAATTTGTGGAGGTTTACTTCTTTTAGATAACCCAACACGTCTGTACGTTGGGCAGGGAGTCGTGGTGTCGCTGCCGAAACCCGTTAAACCCTGAAAGGCACATCACCAGCCTTCTTATCATCTTCTGTAGCCAGCTGCTGCTCGCAGGCCACTCTGAGACTATATGTGGGCGTTCGTGGGTTTCATTCTCGAAAGGTGCTGGTGGCTGCAGACATCCTACCACCAGGCCATCTCCTCTTGGCAAAGGGGGTTCACTGTGAGCTTTTGCGCTGTGCGTTGGAGGCTATTATGTGGAACATGGAGGGATGCTCTTCCGTCTCTGGCTGTACATTGGGTACGAGCCTTCTCTGCACAAATTCAGTGTGCATGTCGAACGGCACTATCAGGGCGGGTGGCGGGCAGAGGGGTTTCCCCAGCTTTGCTGCTGCTTCGGTTCCTACAGGGTGTGTAGCGTGTCGCTGGGCTACCTCCAGTATGGTGAGATCCACATTAGCAAAGCTGTCGCTTCATGTACAAGGTCTATAGGATCGCCCGGCTCATGTTTTATCCCAGTTCTTTTTAGAAGAAGACATGCAGACTTTTGGCAGTTCCAGGCTCTGAGAACTGGTTTTCATGGACTGGTTCCACTTCTGTACGTTCAGTCCATAATACTCAGTTCTCTAGCTTGGCTGTATCTGACTTCATAACTAGGAGACTTGGGGAAAGCAGATTTTCCTAATGAGATGTGGATTACTTTATTTCCTTATATTGTCGTCTCTCTCCCCCCCCTTCTTCCTTTTTCTATGATGCTGTTTTCTGTCCTGGTTGACTCAGCCTCCTATTCTTCCGAGGCCGTTATATTGAGTACCTGACTCATGGGGATGAGAGAAGGTGTAGCCTGCATACTTAAAATTGTAAACCGTATATTGAGTACCCGACTCATGGGGATGAGGGAAGGCAATGTGTGTAGTCTGCATACTTAAAATTGTAAACCACATAGAGAGAGCTCTCAGCATTATGAGGCAGTGTATAAATAGTACACCGTGGGGGGGGGTGTTAATGAATTTTGCTTTTGGTGTTTAGAACAGGTAGAAAGGCTATCTAAGGGGAAAAGTGGATATAAAGTTAACCACTGAAATAAAATGTGCTTCTGTAGCATATAATCCATTTTCATTTCTTCCAACTGCAATTTCAACTTTATAGACCAGATTGCTAGATCCCAGCTTCTCCGAGTTTTCCCGCAGTTCTTCACCGCCCTTAAAATCACCATCATCTTAAGTATTTCTATTTGATACTGTATTTTGTCACAACAGTCTTCAGTGTCATCTTATCAGAGCTTTGATGGTTTTCCCAGGTTCGTAAGGTATTTTAAACCATCACGAAGCTGTGCCAGATTGGATTTTCTTTTATAACGGGATGTCATTTTAAAGCAAAGTTTAAAAGGGACACCATGGGGCCCATTTCCATTTTAAGGTGGAATATTTCATAGATTACTTCCAGAACCATATTCCAATGTTTGGCCATTTTTTTCATGCTCTTTTGCACATAAAGTAAAAGATCTCAGCTTTTTACATGTCCACCCTTTTGCTTCTTCCTCTTTACAAATCTTCTGAGCTGTAAATGCCATCACATATTCCATTTTAAAGCAGTTTTCGTGATCCTGCCCATTTTTCTTTTTTGAACGAAGGACCACTGAGGCACAGGAAAAGATGTTTGGGGCAGGGGGGAAGGGTGGCAGCTGTTGGTCGGTGGATCTGGAATCTGAAAATGGAATTTACTACATTGAGATCCTGTGTTTTCTTGTCCTCTTGCCTTCGTTCCTTCTCTCTCAGCCACCTTGGAGTTCAGACGAAAGCCACAGGTTCTCCACTCCAATTGCAGAAGGAAAAGCAAACTATGAGGCCAAATCATACATCTGCTACATAAATTGGGATTGTTAATCATCTGTATGAAAAGCGTGTTACAGGCATCTTTCTTAGAAACCAGCCGCAGTAGGGCATCCAATAAATAATTAACCATTGACTTCCTAATTTCAGAGCCGACGAGATGTTTATCTACCGTACCGTGATAAGATGTCAATTTAAACCACTTTAATTAATTCCCACATTCCTTTCTTAAGCTATTCGGCTGTCTTTGGCATCATTATCATCTTTCTTGAGTGTGTTACCTTAGCTGCTGTGAGCAGATGGGTGTGTGTGCTTAAAGACAATATTTTTAAAAACAAAGCTAAGGAGACAGATCGTCAGATCTAGGGGTGAGTTCTTACGGAAATGAATCTTTCAGAATCCTTATTACTATTTTTCAAAGTCCTGCTGTTCTTTCACAATATTTTCAGGTGGTATTCTTGGCAAACACTTGTTGTCAAAGACTGGGAGTCAGTAATTTGGAATCTGTTGGTAGGTCACTACATTATGTGCAATAGATCAGCTTAAGATTCTAACAACAGAATTTTGTTAATCTATATTTCCCTCCACTATCCCTGTACTATCTTGAGAGTCCCCTGGACTGCAAACCTATCCATTCTAAAGGAAATCAAGTCTGAGTGCTCCCTGGAAGGACACATCCTGAATCTGAGGCTCCAATACTTTGGCCATCTCATGAGAAGAGGAGACTCCCTGGAAAAGACCCTGATGTTGGGAAAGTGTGAAGGCAAGAGGAGAAGGGGACGGCAGAGGACGAGATGGTTGGACAGCATCATCGAAGCGACCAACATGAATTTGGCCCAGCTCCTGGAGGCAGTGGAAGACAGGAGGGCCTGGCATGCTCTGGTCCATGGGGTCACGAAGTGTCGGACACAACTTAACGACTAAACAACAATCCTAGGGTGGTGTGGTGGAAAGAGTGATGGACTAGGACTCTGGAGAACAGGATTGAAATCACCGCTCAGCCATGGAACTCACTGGGGCAGTAGAACTGGTAAAGACTACTCCTTAAATATCTCACTTACCGTGAAATCCCTATTAAGGTCACTATAAGTTGGTTCCAGCTTGATGGCACAGAACACACATTCCCCCCTCATTTAAGGTGTTGAAATCCCAGTTCTGCAATAATGCAGATGCGTTTTGTGCGTATATATCCATGGGTTGTCGTTTTGTGTCAGGTTCCACTCCAGAGATCGTAACTGGGGATTTTAGTACGAAGCAACATAAATCCTGGTTTAAGTTTCTGACTGTGTCTCCTGCAAGTAGAGGCAGCTTGTGTAGCCCTGGGCAGAAATGAATTTGACGGCACATGATAAGTATCAAATTAAGGCTGTAAATGACTGGCTAATTGTTGGTCCTTCTCTCTTTTCCACAGAGTGCCAAAGTGGTTCTTCTGGAAGACCTAGCTTCCCATTTGGGCATAAGGACTCAGGTGTGTATTTCCCTGGCAGAACGACAGGTCTTTGGTCTGACATGAGGCAGCTGCTTTAAATGACACATCCACTATAGTTATCCAGACCAAGGTCACTCCCTACACAGCTGGGCACTAAGCAAATGTTGTGAAGACATTTCCTTGTGAGCAGCATTGAGTACTATAACAGCATTGCGCTGGGAAGTAACATAGGTGTTTGGTACAGTGTTAATTAATTAATTAATTGCATTGTTGCTTGCTTGCTTGCTTGGTTGCTTTGGAGGTATCTACATATCACTCTTAATTTACTCTGATACATAAATGTTGCCTCCTTCTCTTTATGAAAGCAGCCTAGAATATTTTTTTTGTCAGCCAACTGTGATAAGAATTTCAAGGTGCCTCTCCCCATTAACACCCCTTTTGACTTTAGTGATGTGCTGGAGGATTAAAAAGAAAAAGAAAAACATTGGGTTTAAAGGAGGTGCTTGGCCCAAGGGGTCAAGGTGAGCCTCCTCCTGTATAGACCCTGCGACTCTCCCCTTATTTTGGGGAGGAGGGGAGAGAAACAGACGATCTAGCAGGAGGGGGGGGAGGGGACAAAAAAAAAGAACCAGTAAGGAGCCAGGCAGCTAGGCAGGTGTTCAACCAAATGACAGTGTAGTGCCTGAAATTTTATTTTCGTACCCTCTTGGTTGTGTTACACATACACTTACCTGCCTGCCTGCCACCCAGCTTGCACTTCCATTCCTCCTGGCACAGGCAGGAAGGGATGCATGACAAGTGTTGGGTGTGGCCCATGGGCCATGGGTTGCCCATCTCTGCAGTAGAGTGAGGTTTAGAAATGACTTTTTGAGCCTCACTGCTTTGTAGTTTGGTGTCATTTTTGTTTGCCGTATTTTTAGTGTGGTATTTGATCCTTTTTAATATTTTCATACTTAGTATTTTTAGCTTTTAACATTGTCTTTTAATAACATAAGACACCTTGAGTCCTTCTTAAGGAAAAATGTGGGTTAGAATGAATTAATTAATTAATTAATTAATTAATTGAATGAATGAATGAATGAATGAATGAATGAATGAATGAATGAAGTAGATGCCCAAAGGATGGTGATTTTGTATACCTGGTGCTTCAGGATGCCTTCTGATGGAAGTGATGGAGAACGTTTTGTTGAGAAAGCCTCTCAAGGTATGTAGGACGTAGCTTGTTCTCTTAGCCATACGCTCAGCAGTAAAGAACATGCTTTCAGAGCAGAAGGTTACAGGTTCAAACCCCAGCTTCTCTGAGTCGAGCTCCGGAAGACTGTTCTCTGAAACCCTGAAGAGCTGCTCTGGCTTATTAGCACAGATGATGCTTAATAAACATCTCAATTTTCGCTGTTTCTTTCTTGGCTGGCTTTGGGCGTTCAGAATTGATTTATTTATTATTTCATTCATTTATATACCACCCCATTACTGCAATACACTATTCTGGGCAGTTAACAAACTAAAGAAAAACAATTAGTAACAAACATACAATAACTCCAAACATTCAAAATATAAGATAAATATATCAAAAAGCAAAACTGGAAAGAGCAGCATTTTGTAAACCGAATGTCCCATAAAACACACAGCTTGTCGAGCCTGTACGGAAATGCTGGTGTGTTGTCTGAAAACTTGCCAAAACATCTGGAAATATGGAATCTGCTGCTTACTTCGTTTGTTTTTCCTCAACAGGATGCCATTAGTAGAGTACAAGACCTGATGGCAGATGGAACGCTTACAGGTAAGTGTGAAAACGTGCTGGGATTTGATGGCCTTCTTCCGAGTGAAACAGATGCCTGAAATCACAAAATCTGCACTTCTTAAACATCTTCCTCTAGTTTTTATATTCAGTTTTACTTGGCTGCAGTTTCATTTTAGAGTATTCCCATATTGCAAAATGTTGGCCATTATCGGTGCAAATGATTACAGGTGGATTTGTAGTAAGAAACGGAAAAGCTAAGAGTGGCCTTAGTTGATGTTTCGTTGGCAAAAATGGCATCGAACCCTGTGGCCAGCTAGGAGAACCTGGGGCTTTTGGCAATTTTGAGGGTAGATGGTGGTCTAGAAGGGAAATACAGCATCCCCCAAAATGTGTTGTTTCTTGGGCACCCCAAAGATGAGCATCAGACTGCTAATGTCCAGGCATCAAGCATGCAATTTGGCTACAAGGAAGATCTAAGTTCAGACTCCCACCCTTCAGACCTAAAGCTCACTTTAGGTGGCTTTGGTTCTGAAACAGATTCATGTCCTAACCTGTTTCGAGGATGAGAAAGAAAATGGGAGATCTTTGGGCAACCAGGGTGATCAAAGGTCTAGAAGCCAAGCTCTGTGAAGAACAGTTGAGGAAAGTGGGCCTGTTTAGCTTAGACAAGAGATCCCAGGGAGGTGACATGATAACCTGCAAATATTTGAACGGTACCATGTGGAAGAGGGAGTAAGCTTGTTTTCTCCAGCTACGTGGGTAGAACTTGGAAGCAACAGATCCAAATCACAAGAGAGGCAGCTTCAACTAAGCAGTAGGAAGACATTTTTCACAGGAGGAACCTTTTGACCATGGAACAAGACTGCCTAAGAAAGTGGATGATTTTCCTTCTCTGGAGATTTTTAAGATGGCCAGCTGTCCAGGTTGCTTCAGCAGTGGTGACCCATAGGTCCCCTTCCAGGTCTATGATTCTGTGGGTGCCACCTTCAGCTCTTTGGAAAAACAGCAGGACAGGAATGTAATAGAGAAGCTAAACTCTCAGGACCAGCTGGACATCTTCGTGAAGGGCTTAACAGGACAAAAGCTAATGTCCTGTGGCTTCCCAGTAGCGTCTCAGCGTTCATGGATGAAAACAGGTTTCTGCGCTCAATGGGACCCCCAATATCTTATCTAACAAGATTCTTCTTAGTAAGTTATGGATTTTTAGTGCCTGTTCCGTTAAAAGTGATTTTCCTGAAATATTAAATATGCATTCATCAGTGCAGTTGACTGATTTCTATTTAGATGATTCACCACGTGCATCTTGATCAGTGAATTAACGATGAGGGTGGCATCGCTTGTCATTCGCACAAGACAACAGCCTCTGTTCCCCCCCCCCAAATTGTTGGGGCACCCTTTGACTGGCAGAGATTAAGTGATCCTGGTGAACCTCCCAGCCAAGAGTAAAGACTCTCCCCTTGTTAATTACTGGGACACTTGAAATGGTACTGAGAGCCCTAATAGCACCAATTAATCAATTAACAGTTGATGCCCTCGTATATTCGCATTTTATAATGTAGCTTAAACCTTCCTAATCAGACCGGCTGATTAGGGAATCCTAATTAGGCAGTTGGATTAATTAACCACAAGCTGTGGGGTTTGATTCCAATTTGTTCTTTTTTCTCTAGGTGTCATTGATGACCGGGGCAAGTTCATCTATATCACACCAGAGGAGATGACGGCGGTGGCTGATTTCATTCGCCGTCGAGGACGTGTGTCCATTACTGAGCTGGCTCAACAAAGCAATTCTCTGATCAACCTAGAACCTGAGGCCAGAGTTGCCACGACAGGGGTGGCGTGAGAAGCAAAACTTGTGTGTTGTGGGGAGTTGAAAGTGCAGTGGTAAAATGCGTTCAGTCCCCCTATGATTTGTAATACCAAACTAAAATAAACGTCTAGGGAGAGATGCTTCTGGTCCGGTCACTGGAGAACATTTGGGGTGTGATTAATTCATATAGTTGCAAGACATTGGAGGCACCTTGTCAGCTCACAATAGCAACTATAACCACAGCTTCAGACAGGAAACCTGCCACCTTCATGTTGCATTTGTACACCTGTTCAAGCCGGTACCCTTGGTTGCTGGGTACTCCATCACAGGCTCTTTCCCTCGCTTAAACATTGTACACTGTTTTGTCATCCCTCAACATTTTGTGGAGGCCTGTTTGACAGATCCCTACAAGGACATGTGAGGATCTTGCTTTTTTTAACAGCAGCCCAAAGGTTTTATTTATTTATTTATTTATTTTAACAGCAACCCAAAGGTTTTATTTATTTATTTATTTTGTTTTTTGCATTCTGTCCACGATAGCCAAGAAAAACAGCTGACAATAGGCAGTACAAAGCCTCAGCAAATGAACTTCTGGTTGTTGTAGAGATGAGGTGCATTATGCTCTCTTGGTTTACACATGTAGAAAAGGGAGGAGGTCATCAGATTCCGAATTACTCAATTTCAGATTGCAAGCTATATATGGAGGAATTTTGGAGTGCCTTCCCATATACGTATAACTCCAAAGGAAGTACCAAATATAACATTAAGGTCTCTAAAGCTATAACTCACCTGCTGCCTGCCATGCTGTCTTTCTTTGCACAGGTAGCTTAGTTTATGATGGAGAACATTCAAGAGTGATTCCTCTACATGCAGTCTGCAGCCCCTCTTGTTTTTGATACTCAGATCTTATTGCTGCTCAGATAGCCAAAATGGCATCACCAGTACCTTGTAAGGAAGAATCTGCAGGTTTGGAACAACCTCCCAAGTTTTGCAGGAGCAGGGGGCATCTTTGTCGGGGGGGGTGGCGCTTAGGTACAAGGTGACCTTTCAAGACAGAAGGACAACCTTCCTCTGAACAAATATCATAATGTTTGGGGCTGTTTAGCTTAGTAAACCATAAAGAAGGCTGACGGCTGAAGAATTCATGCTTTTGAATTGTGGTGCTGGAGGAGACTCTTGAGAGTCCCCTGGACTGGAAGGAGAACAAACCTATCCATTTTGAAGGAAATCAACCCTGAGCGCTCCCTGGAAGGACAGATCCTGAAGCTGAGGCTCCAAGACTTTGGCCATCTCATGAGAAGAGAAGACTCCCTGGAAAATACACTAATGTTGGGAAAGTGTGAAGGCGAGAGGAGAAGGGGACGACAGAGGATGAGATGGATGGACAGTGTCACCGAAGCGACCAACTTGAATTTGACCAAACTCCGGGAGGCCGTGGAAGACAAGAGGGCCTAGCATGCTCCGGTCCATGGGTCATGAAGAGTCAGACACAACTTAACAACTAAACAACAACAAGCTTAGTAAAAGGGCAGGTAAGAAGGGACAAGAAAGATGTGCTTAAAAATATGCCTGGCAAAGAGAAAGTGGACAGAGCAACATTTTCCTCTTTCGTAACGCCAGAGCCTAGAGTTATCTGCTGGCGATAAATAGCAGGACATTCAGAACAGATCTTTTATCTTTTACAGTATTTCTTTCAACACTTTGTTAATCTGGGATTAAGCACGAGAGTGTAGCATGGATAAAGGGGTCAGACAGGTGGGGTTCAGGCTGCCGATGTCCTGGGGAGAACAGAAGTGGCCCCTGGATCCACTGAAATGGCCCCCTACCAAAGTAGGCCTTCAATCTGATTTAGCATGGATTTTCCGTCCTTTTGACACAATGCTTCATGGCCTGGGATATTATGATGGCTTGCAGTGGAGCATCTAAAAATCTAGATAGGAGAACTAAATAGAATACTGTAAGGTGTTGCCATATTTTGTCATCGTAGGATTGATCTGTTCACTCGATATTTTTCTTCGCCTGTTGGTCTGCACATGGAGGTCAACAACAATCAGCCTAAGATTTTGATGGTACTAGTGGCAGCAATGCATAGTTTGACATGTATTTTCACCATAAGGTTTCCAATATGTTGTTGTTCCTCAAAATTAATTCTTCTCCACATTAACTGTCCAGGTTGACCGTGTATTTTCACCATAAGGTTTCCAACATGTTGTTCCTCAAAATTAAGTCTTCTCCACATTAACTGTCCAGGTTGACCAAGCTTACATCCACCCTCATCCTCCTATCTGTATATAATTCGTTATAGGAAAAACTAGAAGGCACGAACTTTAGGGACTTACAGTAAAAACATCTATATGGAAGTTTTCATGAGACTGCTAGAATGCTGCCTTTTCTTGTTCAGATATCGGACGTAATGAGTCTGGGTCAGGTCACCTGTTCAAAAAAATGTGTATATATATATTTTCTTATGTTGCTTCTCCAGACATACATACAGATCTTCCAGTGTTAACAAGCCTGAGTGGTCACACGGGGAAACAAAGCCATGCTATCTCACTATTTGCAAATTACAAAATGGAAGTGGACTCATTTGTCAAATGTGGCTCGAAGCAAGCTTGCGTAAGAATAAAAGAAATGGTATTTTCCTCTTAAAGATGCATTGCTTTTAGTTACAGAACTGCTGTCTTATCTGGTAAGGTTCTTGGTTAGAATGCCAATTCCACATTGTTCCTTTGTTGCAACAGGAAAAGAGGAAGAATAAATACAAAATGGATTAACTCCCTAAAGGATGAAGAATAAATACAAAATGGATTCACTCCCTAAAGGAAGCCAGGATCTTGAGATTGCAAAATTGAGGAGCTGTGTTCATTTTAGGGCATTTTGGAGGACTCTCATTCATAGGTTCACTGTAAGTCAGAGGTGACCTTATGGCAGGCACATAACCGTGTAATAGCAGTAGCTTGAAAAGATCTTGTCTTCAGGATGGAAGGGTTATAGTCACTCTCGAATTGACTTTCACAGCCATGCGAGACGCTGTTCCAAGACCTCTATTCAGAGCACGTGACCATCGTCTCTCGAGACTGAAGGAGGCCTACCGTGAATTAAAAGATCACTGATGGAGATTAAATTTCAAAAACTGCAAAGGCAGAATTACACTGATAGGTTTGTTCTCCTTGCAGTCCAGGGGATTCTCAAGAGCCTCCTCCAGCACCACAATTCAAAGGCATCAATTCTTCGGAGGAGGCCTACCGTGAATTAAAAGATCACTGATGGAGATTAAATTTCAAAAACTGCAAAGGCAGAATTACAGTTGGAGATTAAGAAGGCAAAATTCATGACAAGAGGAGAATTACATAATTTTCATTTTAATAGTGAACAAATCAAAAATGGTTGATGTATGTTGGTTGAGACTGCAGGCAAGAAATCAGAAGAAGAAGGGGACATGGATGCACAGCTATGAACGAACTGGGAAAGATGATCAAGCATCAAATGGTATTGCTGGGGACCCAAGATCAATTCATTTCAAATGTAGTCTTGGAATAGAGTTTTATGGATACCATGGGCTGCCAGAAGGACAAACAAAGGGGTACAGGATCAACCCAAACCTGAATTGTGTGTAGAAGCAATAATAACAATTCGAGCTATCATAATTTTGGTGCATCATGAAAAGCAAGACCCAATGGAAAAGACGGATGCTGGATGAAACGGAAGGCAGCAGAAAAAGAGGAAAACTAAACAAGAAATGGAATGAGTGCAAGACGGAAGCCACAGCCTTGAGTATGCAAGACTTGTTGAGGACAGGAACTTTTGGAGATCATTGATTCATGGGGTCGCCCTAAGTCGGAAGAGACCAGGGAGCGCAGAACAACAAGAGACGCCGATAGAACCTCGCAGAGGTTCTATGGCTGCTATAGCTTCCGCCCACTCGCACTCGCACAGCCTGGCAGGAATGTGGCTGACCCACCATGGCTGTGAGTAGGCCCAATGAGCCGGGTGGCTTAATGGCCCCCGAGGTAAAGCAGGATCAGTGCGGAAGGATGTGGTTTCTGCCAGCAGGGGGCACTCAAGAACCACCGTCGGAACCGGGCCTGGAAAACCCTGGGGCCTGACTGGGAAGTCACTGGGAGGATGGCCATCGGGAAAGCCTGGGCCTTAGGCCTCAGCATGGGAAGGAAGAAGGGGGCTGCTTGGGTGGATTATGGAGGAAGCCTGATGGATGTGGATGATAGCTGACCTAAGCTTAAAAGGAAAGGCCGAAGCCAATGGAAAGTGAAGGCCCAACAGAGGGCTCCGGCCAGGCCGGGCTCTCAGCAGGCTTGACAGTGCTGTGAGGTTAGGCCCAGAATCAAGGCCGCAGCCAGCTTTTGTCCAGCATGTTGGGAACAGTGACCTTTTAGGACTACAGAGCCCAGAATCCCCCCCGGCCAGATAGCGTTGAACTGGAGGATTCTGGGCGCTGTAGTCCACAATCCTAGCCTCTCAAGTCCTCCGGGAGGATGCTTATTCCTCCCCTCACTGTAGGCCTGGGAACGAGGCCAAGCATTCTGGGTGAGTGAAAACACAAGGCCCGGACTCTGATTTCAGGGCTCGAGCCCCCACCTCTGTGATTCCATCGAGGAAGTAAAAAAAAAAATCTAAAGGGGAATCCCAGAAACCACAAAGCGGACTCTAAACCCGCTTTATTTGTCGTACTTTAGAAAAAGGGCCAGTGAAAAACAACAAAAGTCCCCAGGTGCTAAAAGCATGACAAAAATCACATGTGAATGCACTCATTCACTCTTGAGTACAGTATTTGCTTATTGATAGTGCTTGGAAAGGTGGCATTTTAAACTGCAATTCCCAGAATCCCCCCAGTAACATCACACTTTCCCAACATCAGGGTCTTTTCCAGGGAGTCTTCTCATGAGATGGCCAAAGTATTGAGGCCTCAGGGTCTGTCCTTCCAGGGCTTATTTTCAGGTTAGGTCTTATTTTCAGGGAAACAGGGCAACTCCTTAGGGAAACGGGCGCACCCCGCTGTGAGAACCACCTAACAGACAAGCAAGTGGTTCAGAACCATACAGGTGACCGGGTTTGATCCAATCCTTTTTTCTTCACGACAGACCCTCAAGCCTGGCTTACCAGGTCTTGGACAGAGAGGACCGGCCTCTATGCAGATTCTGAACAGAGTGCTTGAAGGAGGGGGCCGCACCGTCCACCAGCAGTTGGGAGATCTGTCCTTGTCCACTGTTTATGCTCTCCTGGCGACTCTGATGCAGTGTCTGAGCATGGGGTGCCTCTGCGTAGCCATTTCTTTGCTCAAATGGATCATAGCGGTGCAACCCTTCTATCATCGCCCAAACGTCTTGGTGACCTCCAGCTTTGGCATACCCTACGACGTGTCCATCTATGAACCATGGAATCCCAACGCCACAGACTTGCGTAAGAAAATCTCATATTTCCATGATGAATTTCCACGAAGTGTGATGGGTGGAACCTTCAGTGGTTGCGGTTGGGTTATAAAGCTAGGATAGATGCCACAAGCATTCCAAAGAGCTGGGCTAGGGAAAGGCGGGTAAATATGGAAGGACGTGGTGGCGCTGAGGGTTAAACAGCAGAAGCCTCTGCACTGCAAAGTCAGAAGACCAGCTGTCGTAAGATTGAATCCACGCGGCGGAGGGAGCTCCCGTCTCTTGTCCCAGCTCCTGCCAACCTAGCCATTCAAAAGCATCTAAATGCGAGTAGATAAATAGATACCATCTCGGTGGGAAAGTAATGGCGTTCCGTGTCTAGTCGCGCTGGCCACGTGACCATGGAAACTTTGGCACACCGACATTTATGTATTGATTCAGTGGGTCTACTCTTGTTACAAATGGACTCATCCCAAAGGTCTACTGCCAAAGATAACATACATTGCTTTCATGTGGACGTTCCACTCCTTGCACCATTTTCTAAGCAATACACCAATCTCAGGTCAAGAATGATTTTGCCCTCTACTTTGGATAGGTGATATTCTGGTCAAGATGAAGCAACATGTCTTTGACCAACCTTTGAAAGTTTTGGCTGAAGCCATTTCCTCTTTTTGGCTTATTAACCCCAGGTAGTCAGACACCACTTCTGGGGAACTGCTCCATCTTTTTTTTAGAAAGCTGCTAAATGTCTCTGGCATCTTGAACTGAAAGAGTATTGGGTTCCAGATGCTAGTAGAGCTTCTGCTTGAGAACTTGGAAAGCTGCTGGTGGTCAAAACAGACAGTTTTGTGGTATACTAATAATCTGTCTGTCACTGTGCCAGGCCGTTTCACCCTTTCACATCTATACCACCAAATGGTATATTGGTGAATTCTGAAATGGAGGCACTTCTTATTATAGTTTCTGGAGAAATCTGAGATTGGTTGATGACAGAAAGAGAGGGACAATGTGTGTCCGAAACAGCATAAGGTCAAGATTTTCTAGATTTTTCCCCCCAGCATCATACAGAAACACTTCTTGTCATGGCTTTCCACTAGATGGGTGGCGTATAAATGTAATGAACAAATAAATAATTATTCAGAAAGTTAAGCAACTCATCGTATCTCACTCCAAGAGAAGCAATTTTAAAAAAAGCATAGGGTTTTTAAGTGTCCATTCCAGACTAAGTTTCTTTACCAAACTGTCCATAACAACAGGGATAACTTACAAAATATTGTTGTTAGGATAATCAATTTCTCCCTGGGTGACTTTGAGAGTTACACCCGTGCTCAGAAGGATCCGGGAAGTTGGAGAACTGTGGCAGATGATGTCAGCAGGACTTGGACCTTAAGTCAAGCATGCCACCATTGGCTTGACCGTCTATCGCTTTTCCCTGAAGTAAACCAAGAATTCTCCCTAGATGCTGGAGCGAACAGATCAAGAATGAGCCCAGGGCAGATCACTGCCACTTTGGGTAGTCTTCTCTTGCTCTAAGGTAGCGTCTTACGTTTCTCACCAAGCTACAGTTCCTAAGACATTGGGGAGAAATCCTAGACCCGCTCAACATGAACTGCCTTTACAATGAGATAAAAATATAAAGATCATTTAAAATTCCAATAATGCCGCCTATCCGTCTTGTTTCCTTTTCGCCCTGATAGGGAAATATTATTTCTTTAGCGAAGAAGAGGTAATTGAGCCAGTGATGATCACAGTTTGCCTCTTGAGCCTGTCGTCTGGCTTTCTAGCTTTTCTCCTGGGATTCGTGGAAGTGAAGAAGCTAGGGCAGTACCAGTCGGCCGTTGTCACTTTCCTACACATTCTGTCAGGTAATGTTGGATTTGCCCACCTTTCGCTCGCACGCTTGCTTCAGCATAGGACATGGTCAATATGTACCCAGATTAAATAGAGCGACTCAACGCCTGCAGCATCACCTTCTTCTTCTTTTCCTTCCCCTTCTTCTTCTCATCCTCGTGATCAATCATTATCATCCTCGCATATACGAAACACGCTCATTCTCAAAAGGCAAAACAATACATTGAAGGCAGGCCATCACGAACTGCTCCACAACCATTGTTTAGCCAGAACTTCAGAATGGAACCATCCTATTTGCAAACAATGTACACTTTCCAATTTTCCAGTTAGGGGAGCCAAAAGGACGTGATTTCTCTTGTCCTCCATTTTGCTCCCACTGAGAAATGGGAAAGTATATGAAGCCAGACGTGGGCATTATGCCTGGTCATGCCAGGCCTTGGTGCTGGTCATCAGGGCCAGGATTTTCTAAGAGAACAAGCAGTGTTCACTCAAGGTTCAGATGTCTGAAATCCGGGAAAGCTGGCAGCAGGTCTTTGAGGACCTCAGAGAAAACACAAGGAGTGGAGAACTCACTATGGGGATAATGTTTTCTTAACTAAACCTTCCCATGCAATCTGAGCCCGATTGCTTCTTTGAAGCTGCATCACTTGCTGAGAAATACATAACCTTAAAAGAGAAACACCCCGGCTTTGCATTCTGGCCTAACATCCCACCACCTTCCTCATCAGATGAAGGGAATGCTGTGGATGTCGCATATCTTAATTTCAGTAAGGCCTTTGACAAAGTTCCCTGGGATATTCTTGCAAGGAAGCTAGTAAAATGTGGGCTAGGCAGTGCTTCTGTTCGGTGGATTTGTAATTGGTTGACTGACCGAACTCAAAGGGTGCTCACCAATGGCTTCTCTTCATCCTGGAGAGAGGTGACTAGTGGGGTGCCCCAGGGTTCTCTTCTGGGCCCTGTGCTATTCAACATCTTTATCAATGACTTGGATGAAGGAATAGAGAGTATGTTGATTAAATTTGCAGATGGTACCAAATTGAGAGGGGTTGCTAATTCCCCAGAGGACAGGATTAGAATTCAAAATAATCTTGGCAGATTAGAGTCCTGGGCCAAAACTAACAAAATGAATTTCAAGAGGGAGAAATGCAAGGTCCTGCAGCTAGGCAGAAAAAATGAACTGCACAGATATAGGATGGAAGACACCTGGCTAGACAACAGTACCTGTGAAAGGGATCTAGGAGTCTTGGTAGACCAGAAGCTGAACATGAGCGTGACGCGGCTGCCAAGAAAGCCAATGCGATTCTTGGTTGCATCAATAGGATAGTGTCCAGATCAAGGGAAGTGACAGTACCACTCTATTCTGCTTTGGTCAGACCTCACCTGGAGTATTGTGTCCAATTCTGGGCACCTCAATTCAAGAAGAATGTTGACAACTTGGAATGTGTCCAGAGGAGGGAGACCAAAATGGTTGAACGTCTGAAAGCCGTGTTCTAGGAGGAGCGGCTTAGGGAGTTGGGAATGTTTAGCCTTACAAAAAGAAGGTTAAGAGGGGACATGGCAGCCATGTTTAAATATTTGAAGGGATGTCATGTCGAGGAATGGACAGGTTTGTTTTCCCCTGCTCCAGACAGTAGGACACGGAGCAATGGTTTCAAACTACAGGAAAAAGAGATTCCACCTGAATCTCAGGAAGAACTTCCTGACGGTCAGAGCTGTCCGGCAGTGGAAGAGGCTGCCTCGAAGGGTGGTGGAGTCTCCTTCTTTGAAGGTTTTTCAGCAGAAGCCGGATGGCCATCTGTCGGGAGCGCTTTGATGGATGTTCCTGCATGGCGGGGGGGGGGATTTTGGACTCGATGGCCCCTATGGTCTCTTCCAACTCTGTGATTCTATGGTCTCTCCTCAAGATGATTCCAAGTATTCTGCTCATGTTGGCATGCCCACTTTGTGGAATTTGACGCCTTCCTTTGGCAAGCAAGTGTCATGCTTTCTCTCTCCACATCTGGACCCAGGCGCTGCCGTTTCTGGTGCAGGATGATGAGAGAGCTGTCTCAGGAATGTGATGCTCGCAGAGCCACTGGTTCATCAGCTGTGCTCGGGCCCAGTTTTCCCTCCATCAACAAGCCTGTCCCTCAGCATCTTCCTGTGTCCCTTGGAGTCGTTGGGTGCTTGGATGTTGGTATCTTTCCCATTTCCACAATCCTTTAGGAGAGATTTCGTCATGACAAGGTTTTTAAAATCTTTTCTTTTTCCCTTTGCAGGCATATTTCTCACAAGCCTGGTCGTCCTGTGTTCGTGGTGCCTTATGAAGATTCGACAGCGTGTCAATGAGGAAGGATGGAAGCTATTCCGGTTAAAAGTTATGCCAGGAGAGAGTTTTTATATTGCCTTAACGTCCTTCCTTTTTATTATCCTCGCTGTTCTGTTTAATTTGTGGTCAATGACTGTCAGTGCCTAAAAACAATATCAACTCAGAGCGGCCTTCCTAAGAAAATACAGATTTAAGTGCAGGGCATAAATGTCCTGAAAATGGGATGATTCGGATGTAATGCTTTCTAAACCATGTTTTATTAAGTGGGAGATGACCCATAAGCCCATGTGTTTTGCTCTTCTCCTGTAGAAAAATGGTTATTCAAATCAGAGTTTCTCATATTTGAAATGAAGAACACAGGTTCTGTTGCTTTACTAACTAGGATATTAAGCCAGTGTTTTAAACCTGATGCAAGCCAACGTGCTCTGTTTCAGAAATAGGACCTCTTTTTTAAAGTCTGTGCGCCAGGGAAGAGAATAAACCAGGCACTTGTTCACAGTTTTATAACCACGGCTAATAAAGCCAAGATTGTTATGTTTGACTCCGCTCAATATTGTGGATAGTATGGTCACAGTACTTTTCAACAGAAGATGGTCAAATAAACCTAAATAAGAAATAATCTAATGGAAACCATTTCACTCTATTCTTCAGCATAGTAAAGACATTTCATTCCAGGTTTGCAAATTCACAGATGTAGACATTCCACGTGTATTTGACAGGGGGAAAAAACACTGGTACTGTACAAAATTTTAAGAAAACCCAAATCTATTGTGGAAGAGTTATCTACATATTTATACAGCTCAAGGCTGTAGTGGTAATTCTTTTGTCACACGACCTGAAGTCAGAGTCAGCTGCCATCTCCCAAATGCCAGCAGTCTCCTAAGCTTTTTATGAATTTTGGAAGCTGGCAGGAGAGCCCGTCTTTCCTTCTCCTACCACTGTAAGGCCACATGCTCATAAGCAATATAATATCTGCTACGTCAGGTCAAGGAAGAGAGAACCCCAATGGCTTAAGTAAATCAATGTGATCAGCTCCACCCTGTTTTGGAAGAATCAAAACAGCTAACTTAGCTACAAACGACAGGCGATAATAGTTAAAGCCCAATATCCTTAATTAAAAGGAAAGCCTTTTTGGGCATGAGAATTCGGAGTGGGTGGGGAGAAAGGGCTTGAACCATTCCCTGGCATCAGTGTCTGCACAGTCCCCACTCCACAAGAGCAGCTTCGATTTCAACTCCAATTCCTTTTTCGTCGTGCGAGTGAAGTTTCTGCTCTGACCACCTCTGGGGCCCCTTTGGGTTTCTCCCAGGTGGGAGGAAGCTGCATGTCGGTGGCAGATGCTGCAGAAGTGGTGGCGCAGCTATCGGTGGGTGGGATCAATGGCGTGGGCATCTCAGAGACGCAAGTGGCCGGGTCTCTGAGATGCTCCCCTAATATCTGGGACCAGGGCACAGATACACGGTTATCAAAGGGCAGCATTTACAGAATTCTATCCCAGGTATGCTTTGAAATCAGCTCTCTCACAAGGAGCCCCATTGTGGTGCCATTCTTTTCTAATAATGTCTGATTGCTGCCTTCTGTGTTTCGTTGTTAACCTAACTGTCCGCTTCCTTCCAAAGCTGGGTTGTACGCTGAAATGAGAGCTGCTGTTTAATTCAGAGAGATACATGCATGCATCAGCGCCTCATTCCCTCATTATAAAATAAAAAAAAATAGGACATTCACCCCCACCTTCCTCTTTGTGTTGAACTCTTAGAAGTCAGCTATACTTTCTCTGCTCTCTTGGTTTTTCAATGTTTGCAGCTGTGACATGCACGCCCCGAGGTTTCTTTCGCTTCCTTATCCTGGCATCCCAGTGAGTCACTTAGGTAAGCCAATTTCAGTGGGTTTTCGGGATGCCTCTCCAAGACTAAATCTATGCTCACCTCCTAAATTAGCAGAACATCAGATGTCATCTAATGTGTGGCATCCGGGGG